TCCAACCTACTAGCGATGGCCTCAAACCTAATAGTGATGGCCTCCAAGTTACTAGTGATGCCCTCGAACCTCCTGAACTAGCGCTGGCTTTTATGCCTTTCCGGCACAGTGCCTTCCATTCTGCTTCACAGTGAAACACGCACCATCAGTTTCCCGCTCTACCGAAATTGAGGCTGGGCAGTTGAAGTGAGTGAATGAAGCGAAGGGACACAGCACCTCTATACAATTGAAATCTGGCAAACTGTCCTCAAAAGTGCAGATCCCTATCAGCCTTTTAGTCGCTCAAAAGGACCCTGAGACGGTCTCAAGTGTGAGGTTTGAGCGATAACGTACCTTGACCAGGCTTCATCTTGTTTAGAGCTTGAAAGACTTCACCAGTCCACACAAACAACAGGCTGCTCTCACTAGGAAAACCTCTCTCTAAACAGAGTCTTCAAGCTACTAAGGGCCTCTCCAAAACTCATCACCCTGAATACCCTCCAGACCTGACACTCTCCACGCGCCTCCGATCACTTCCCAGACCTGTGGGGAGTGGTAGCCATTGTCCATACTGCGAAAGACCTTAAACGTCCAAGGCATCCGTGTGTCCCTGTGAACGACCATCGTGTGGGGGACCCCATGGCCATCTTTTGATGGATAAGCAGTGTCAGCAGCATACTAAACTTCTTTTCAAGCTGTTGTCTATATTCAACTTGATCTAGCTATGCATGTCTGCAAAAAGCTTGGTGCGCTCAACAGGGAACCTGATTCCTAGACCAGGAACTTCTCAAGCACAAAATCACGGTCTCAACTTTTGCATCTTAATGCTATGTCTTGAAGACAATCCTGCAATACTATATAGTAGACCTCATACTGAGCCCATCCTTTGTGCAAACTGTTGTTCAGGTTCAAGCTGCCAAGAAACATCAAGAAACTAAGGCCCCCACTCTGTCTGTACTCTACCACATAGCACTTGGGCCAGAAGCAAATGGTTCTTGGTGTGTGCTCACTCTAAAACCAACCAGACCGACTTCAACATACACGGGTCCCAAGTGGCAAATCCCAAAAACTGCGAGTTGCTTCCCGTTGAACCGATGTGGCCTGAGACCACTAAAAAGCAGACCTGATGAATTTAATATCGTATCATCGACTCAGCACACTCGTGCTCCCCAGGTTTGAAGAGTGGAAACGTTTCAAGGCGCGACGACGTCGTCAGTCGATTTCTCCAACCGATTCCGCTCGAATGGATCGATGCTCCGCCCTTCGCCGCTTCGCGCCGTTGGGCGTTCGCCGTTGGGCGTTCGCCGTCGTCACCTCGACGTAGCGAGAAAGCAAGTCAGGCGTTCTTGGCGTGTCGTTCTTGAGAAAGAGGCGTTCATGATAGGCTCAGAGAGATTCCAACCTTGGAGAAACCAATGCAACCACGCACAGTCGGATCTTAATCACTTGCTTTGCATTTGACATAGGCTTTCTGTAGTTTCGTTGCCTTGCAAACTGATGACCGTCCCATACAAAGGAGGACTCGGGCTTGAGCAAATTGTGTCTCTTTACAGCTGCCAGGCGGCCTGATACAAAATATTGGTGTTGCCCTCGGCATTGGCCACAATGGACATGGATAGCTGCCATTTCTCTATCCTCGGGTTAGAAGCCACAAACCACAAGCCACTTCTTACCACCGAGACATGTGGCACATGGGAGGATTCATGCTCTCTGTGTGCAAATGGCATGCTGAAGAACCCTACAGCGCCGAATAGTTTGTCAACTTATATAAGTTTCGCTTTCAACGATTGCAGCCATGATGTGCCAGGCCAAGGAAAGTTTACACTACAAATTGGTTGAAACCAATCTCCAATGCTTGGTGGAGGCCATAAGGTGAAGTTAAGCAAATTGATGTGAGTCCTTCCGGGAGGGTCCTTCACCTTAGTCTGTGCCTTCCGATGTGGACGTTGATCTGCCAAGGTGCGAGGTGCTACATGATTGTGCATTCAATTGCAGGAGCCGGGAGACCTCAAAGGCTGCGAAGTTGTAATGTGGGGGGCAACAAGAACCGTACCCCGTAGGTCTTCACGTCGATCTGCTTCTTCGAGGCTTCAGCATCAGCCCAGTCTTCAGAATTTCGACCACTAGTAGCTTCTTGTTCCTAGCAGCGATTTTTGTTAACCCCGCTCTCTCCCCCTCCTCCCTACTTTATTAAGTGGAGACTACCTACTTGATTAAGTAAGGAACTGAGGTAGCTGGTAGTAGCTAGGTAGCTACTAGTATGGATACAGGATGGCTCACGCTCGCACTAATGATTTGGTTCCTAGATTTTTAGGGAAAGTTAACTAATAGCGATGCCCTTGTTACTAGTAGCTTCTTGCTCCTAATAGCGATGCCCTTTGTTGTTACAGTTCCATTCCAATCCTTGTGCTATGGGAACATACATCCAATCACCTCCCGTCCCAAAAAGAGTCGATTCAAACGCATTGACCAAGGAACTGAGTCGGGTTCAACTCCAAGTGACCTCGCCTGGAAGAGGACCTGTCCGCAGCCCGAGGCTCCGCAACTTTTACAGGTGGACACGGACAGGCCCCTAGTAGCGTCCTTGCTCCTAGTAGCGATGCCAGGGGTTGTTTTAAAAAGCGTTCCAATTCTAATAGCGATGGCCTCCTCATTGTCAGGTGGGAAACGAATGTTTAACATTGTTTAACACTGACTGCTTATGACTTCTTGTTCATTCCTCAATGCTTTCTTCATTTGCAAGTGAACAATCGGTGCCCCACAGAATCCAAAGACCTGACAAGGTCTGAACTCGCGTATAGATCCAAACATGGATCCGAAGTCCACTTTGGACCCAACGGGTCAGCAGTGAGGAGCGCCGTCAACTGTGTGTCTTTCTTGTTTGTTGCTTGTTTTTCTTGCCCGCTCCTACTTGATTCAGTGGAGACTACCTACTTAATTAAGTAAGGACGACTAGTTAGCTTCTAGCAACTGAACGCAGGATAGCTCACGCTCGCACTATTCATTTGGTTTCTAGGTGCTTATGTAAGGGAAACTTACTTGAGCACTGCAACAAGTGGATAGAGCCAGCACGCCTCCAAGCATCGCTGCCAGTGCTTTGGGCCAGTGCTTTGGGCCAATGCGTTGATCTCCAAGATGTCCAAAGATTTCGAGTGAAAGCCTAGCGCTTCTTCCCAGGCGCCTACGCGCAAGCGAAGAAAAGGACTGAAGCAGCGTGCTTAAGGACTCGTGCGTGGGTAATCGGATCCGTTCCTGGACTCGTAAGACTTCACACCACAGGGAAGACACTAAGACGCTCTAATACGCTTGCCTTCCTGGCTTCAGCATGTTGCCCTTGAGGGAAGAATCAAGAAAATGCTCAGCTCACGCCGGACGTGCGTCCCCGGTCGCGGCGTCACTCGCCTTTGACCAGGGAGCGAAAGCTCACACCATCTGGCTCCAAGGAGCGCGAGGAGAGCCTCCTGTGGCGAATGACGCAACACATGCGCTGCCTTTCGCGGCTCGCGGAAAAGCCGAGAGGACAGAGAGGACAGAGATCATCTTGGCACTTCTCCGGGCGACATGAAAAGGCATGAGAGATTTCAATGTGCTGCACCAATCATCATGATCCCGCGTTTCATTCTACATGCACTGTCAATGGAGAAGCACCCTTCCAGCTGCCCTGGCATAAGAAATACAAAGTCAGGCTCAGGCTTGTGAACATAGATAGTATTCAGTATTCATCCTATCAAAAGTTGTACGGCATCTAACAAAACTGTTTGGGTAGTAAAAGCCTCTACAAGAGCAAATCTCAAACCTGCAAAACAAATCAAGTGTCGGTTAAAACCCCACACAGGAGGGAATGCAATGGGAGCAAACAATCAAGCAGTGGATAGACCCTTGCGAAAGCAGTGATAAGCAAACAGCTTTAATTGAAAAGGAAGCAAATCAAAGAATGTCTATCATGCGCAGCCCACCCACCATTGAGACCTAACGCAACCCTGCAAGGTCTAGAACACAGCATTGGCAGCTAAGGCTCTGCATCATGTCGAGGGCTTCATCCCACAAGGAAGCTGATGCAAAAGTCCCTGCGCATGCATTGAAATAGCTGGTGTAGATCTGCACCTCCAATCACATTTCGATCAACTGAGAAAGTCCCCCATGTCACTCATGTCTGGCCTGACCACCTTTCCCTTTCTCGATCGCAAGTGGTCTTTGGCCCATCCAGTTTGTCCGGAAACACTCTTGTACCTCTCTTGGAAACTGGAGGCCACGAAACTTCAATACGCAGGGAAAAATGCACAAAAGAATCCTGCAGTGTTCGGTTCTTCACTTCTAATCCCCGCAATGTTGGCTGCGTCAACATTGGACGGTGTAAAACGACATGTGTGTGTTTCCCGCTTTCTCGACCAATCTCCGCGGTTTTCTCCGCTCAAAATCGACGACCGTGACAGTGGTTGTTGCCATTTTCTGTGGGGCTGCGAGAGGGTACCTCTTGGCCAAACAACGCACGCGGACCGGCTTAGTTAGCCTGCAGGCCTGGTGAAGAGTCGATGAAGATTTAAAAAAAAGCAAAGAATACACTGTCTCATCTCTCACTGCGGGGTTCCTCACCGCACCTGGGATCTGGCAGCACTTTTGAGGAGTTCCCACGTGACGCGCCAGTGAGATGCGCAGCAGCTGAGGAGTGAGTTGTTGGGATCCACTGCCCAGTCCTCGGGAGACGCACAGTCCCGACCAGTGCAACACATCTCGTGACACATCTCGTTGTTCAGTTCCCCTTTCGTGTTGCAACCTCAATTAGTGTATACTAGTGTATAAGTATAAGTTGGTTCCTTTTGGTTAGACCTTTCATGGTGTGTCGTGGTTTGATCCTGTTTGGTGTGGCTTCGCGTCTCGGTGGGAAAAGAGACGTGTTTGTTTGGTCCGCGCCTGTGCCTCTTGCAATGTCTGTAGCGTCTGCTTCCATTCCGACGGACCGGAAGCTGCGGAAGCTGCGGCGCTCGTGAAGCTCAGCTGCTGCGGCCGCAGCGTGGCGAGGCGCAGGTGCCGAAGCCGCTGAAGCGCCAAGGTCCAACGCTCCACACCTGGGCCGCGAAGTCTAGGACACCGGTGCACATCGGACGGAGTTCGGTTCACTGAAGAGCAGTGTAGAGAGCCACTCGAAACGAGAAATGAAAAGTCATCGGAAGTCGAAGTAGAAGCCACACTTTGCCGATCTTTGCCGAAAAGAATGAGAGTACCATGCTTCTTTCCCCGTCTTGGTCCCCTTCCCCGGCTGCCTTTCTCTCTTGGAGGAATGCACCCTGACCTGCTGCCGACCAAGCTGCCAAGGGCTTGGAGATTCACAGAGCCCAGGAGATCCTGGTCTTGGGCTGTGCCTTGAAGCTCCTAACAAGCCGATGTCGCCCCGCACCCGCACCCAGTGCTGAGACTCTCTTGTCCAACATCGGACATCTGTCATCGCTGCGCTCTTTGTGCTGTCAAAAGGGTTGTTTCAACGAAAAGACGGCCAAGCAATTCGGCCTTTCGCATCCGAAGGTTTTTTGGAAGAGCTCCGAAGCTCAAAGCCAAGCGAATGTCCTCACAGAATTCTTCTCCAACGAACAAGGCCACCCGCCAGGCAGTCCCCACAGTCTGGCCCGTCTGGAGCTCAGTCTTGGTGGAATCCAAGATGGATGAGATGCACAAACCTCAGAACTGGGACTCCGTCAGCCATCCAATCCAACAGCTTCCCTCAAAGCATTGATGGCCCGAAGGGAGCGGCTTTGAAGGTACCCAAGTGAAGGAAAAGCCCAGTCAGAAGATTCTAGCCTGTATATGAGAAGGAATGGTGTGACTCTCCTGATTCGTGACAGTGGCTGTACGACCCTATGAAATCTCTCTATGTTGAGTACCTATTCGAGCTGCCGCTACCAAGGCACAGTCAGGCTGCACGTTGGCACTGCGCATGCTATCCAAGATATCCAAAGACAGGATCCAGTTCCTCAAACACTCGGAGCTGATGCTTAAGTCATCCCGGTTCTCCCATGTCGATGCTGGAGCTGAGTATATGGGGTAGACCAAACCAAAAGGCCTTAACAGCTTCTTAGAACATCATGCCAATTGTGAGATACTCAATTGAACGGCATGGCTTTTCAATGGCTCTCACCATGTTCAAAATTTCCGAAAGAATTCGGCGTCATTCCCACCAAAGGTGAGTTATTGAGACTTATGGTAAGACTCAACTCAGGGATGGCCTATCTCACCCCATTCGGCCCTGTCTAAGAAGGCTCCTACTTACGACCGTCTTTCAAAACCATGAAGGTTGGAGGCCATCGCTATTAGAAACAAAGAAAATGAAAACGTAGAAAGTAAAGGTCTAATATAGTCTAATACAGTTTAGCTATTAATGACCATCTTTCAAAACCAAGGTACCGTAACCACCGTAACCCGAATGCGTCCGAATGCGACCAGAAAATACGTCGAACCGTCGGCACCGGTCGGCAGTCGCAGCGACCGATCCTCTCCACAGCGGCCAAGGACCTCAGCTGCAACGCAGAGGAAGGGAGAACACCTTGCTCCTAGTAGCTACTTGCTCCTAGTAGCAAGGCCAGGAGCCCCTAGTAGCGTCCTTGCTCCTAGTAGCGATGCCCTTTGCT